GTTCAAATGATTAAACAAACAATTTAATTATCCTAGACATATCGCAATCACATAGCTACCATAACAATTCACCACATTCAGCATACTTCGTGACAGGACTTACATTTCATAACAAATTCCACATTACCTCATAACAGTTTTTAAACAGTTTGACATTTAATTAACTAAGAGCTACTAACTGTAACTAACATAAATCCAGCCTGTCATAACTAACTTCCCTAACGAAAACTCATAACAGAATTGCTCAACCTAACTAACTTCATCAACTAACTCCAACTAACTTTCATTCACATTTCGTAAGGGGATTTTCATTTTTTTCTTCACATGCTCACCCTTTCAATACTCTTTCTCCATCTCAATTTTCCTCATTCTCTCATCTCAATTCCCTTCATTCCTCACACACTCATTCTTCATCTTCTTCACGCTCATCATTCTCAGAACCAATTCATCATTCACTCTCGGCTCTCAAGCCTCACCTAAACCTCAAGCTATCACAAGCCTCACCTAAACCTCAAGCTATCACAAGCCTCTCAACTCCACCATAACTACCATCCTCTGCACACTCAACACAAGCTAAAGCACTCAACAATTCACGCAGAAATCGCAACTCTCACTACTACGCACAACAGATACAAGAGCAGACACAACAACATCAACAACATTCTGCATAACTTCTGCACCCCTGCTGCTCTATTTTGGTTTTTGATTATGATTGGTTTTAATTGTGATTAGTCTAAATTTTAGTGGTGATTAATTCTGGATTTTTTGCTTTGGTTAATTCTTGATTTCAGTTTTAGTTTTTGCTTGAATTTTGTTCGTTGGTTAATTTTTTCATTAATTGTTGCTTAGAGATTTTTGTTAGAAATTCTGATTAATGTGGATTAATTTTTCATGACTTTTTGTACGTGTTGATTTAATTCTTCATGGTTTGTTTTTTGTTAATTGGTCATGCCCTTTCTTGGATTCATGTCGTGATTATTTTTTGATGCATTTGTTTTGACTTGATTCTTGAGACAATTGGTGATTGATTCTTACCTTGATTTCTTAATTGTTTCATGCTCGACTCATCACTTGATTATGTCATGTTACATACATATATTTTACTAATCATTTCTCTTTTCGTGAGATAATACTTGGAGAATTTACCACATACGGACATTTGGATTTTAATCATTTGTTGTACATCTATTTCTTTTGTCTTAGCTTAAGTCTCCTCTCTTGGCCCATTTACAATGTAATAACTTAGGAACTTTATATTCCTTTGACTTCTTGCATGTATGCTTGAATGTTAATAGAATAGAAAAGATAAAATAAAGCATTTAGAACACGTTTTCAAAAACAAAGATAAAAACAAGTTAGATCCAATGTCTAACTCTTTTCAAAATCAATTAAATTGAACTTGGAGCTACATCCTTTCCTCTCCTCATCCAACTCTTTTCCATTCCACTTAGCCAAGCATGCCTTGTATGTATGCATCATAAGTCGATTGTCTTGTGCATCGCCACCGACCTACCCTAATTCAATCCATCATCCTTTCTATGCCATCTTCACCTTTTCCATCCCAAAAAAAAAAATTAACCCAAACAAGAGTTTTATCTGGTCCTCTTAGGGTGAATACGAGTGGTCGAGATACCATTGTCCCCTTAACTCTCGATTATTTGATTGCGGGTCGTACTTAGCCTTGTTAGAACACAGATTGGTTCTTAATAATTACTCTTTGTTTTGATGATAACTGTTAGGAAATTTATATTTAAGAATTATATACTCTAAAATTTGTTTGAGAGTTTTACTGCAGATTAAAATTATATTAACTCTCTAGAAGCAAATCTGCCTTGAATACAAGAAGTTATTCTGACTCTGAAGCGCCAGATGCACCTTACAGAAGAATCTGTTTGCTCCTCACTGAAGATCCTGAGCGTAGTCTCCAGAAGGATCTGAAGAAAGAAGCTCCAGAACATTCTGAGTCAGAAGCATCTGAAGATAGTCAGAAGCATCTGAAGATAATCAGAAGCATCTGAAGCTGAAGCATCAGAAGTATAGAAGAATATTGATTGAAGAGTTTCTCAAAGCATTAGTCTACAGAAGTTTCTGAAAGTACCTACGCTGCCAAGTACTGAAGTTCTGTGTCAAAATGTTCTGATGATCAACACGCTAGAAGCACACACGCTGCAGAAGACTCTGATACAGCATAGTTCAGAATCTCACTAGAAGACTCTGATCCATTCAGACTCTGAAGAACTTGCTGAAACTGAAGAAGTATTTTCAAGAATATATCCGTTGGAACTATTCAACGTCTCTTTCCTTATTTGTGCTAGACACACTTAAACAGACAAAAAGGATTTTTCTGTGTCATCTATTTCAAGGAAAGGTCAGTTGATGTGAAGACAAAAAGGCTCAGACCTTTTGGGACTCTCTTTTCAACGTTCAGCTTGCATGATTCAGCTGCCTATAAAAGGAGATCTTCACTTCATTCTTCAGTGCTACACACTTGCTGAAAAGAAATTATAATATTCTAAAAGCTCTCATTCTTATTCTTCATAGAATCTCATTGTACTTAAACTTAAGAGAAAAATCACTGTTGTGATTAAAACTTTATAGAAGCATTAAAAACTCTTGTATTTAATTTACATTGATTGTAAAGGATATTCCTTAAGAGGATTCAGTTAGAATCAGTAGCTCTTGAGAAGACTAAGAACTGTTGTTCTTAGGTGATACTATTGTAATCAGTTTGATTTAATAGTGGATTAAGTCCTTGTTGAGAAAGGCAAATCACTCTGGAAGGGTGGACTAGAGTAGTTGTTAAACGAACCAGGATAAAAATAATTGTGTGATTATTTTCAAGTCTTAATTTTCCATACTTATTCAATCCCCCCCTTTCTAAGTATTATCTCACCTTCAAGCCTATGGTTGGATACTCGTCTCCCTCTTAGTACCAACAATTAGACTCACCAAACAAATTCCATAACTACAAAACAGTCTGATACATTCTTCTGTCCTAGGACAACATTCAAACCTTTCATTCATCAACGCATCAACAAAAGATCTTCTCTTTGGACCAAACAACCTTATTTGGCCTCCATATCTCCTTGGGTTGAGCACCTTATGGTAAAGTACCCATCTCTGAGTCAAACTCTTTTCTGCTTACCATGTTAGTCTCATTTCTTTGATAAGCTCTTGCCATGTTAGTCCCACACTTTGGCAAGCCCTTCCTTCTAAGCATGTCTTGTTTGTTATATGCCTAGACAGACACCCTTTTTCCGTTAGTCTCACGCGTTGGTGAACCTCTTTCTTCCCCCGCAAGTCTGCCTTGTTAGTCCCATGCTTGGGCAGACGCCTACCCTCGCTGACCATGTTAGTCCCATTGCTTTGGCAAGTCTATTTCCTTTCACGTTTTCTATGTTAGTCTCATGCTTTAGCAAATTCTTTTTCTCTCTCCCGATTACTATGTTAGTCCCATGCTTTGGCCAACCCTCATTTCCTCTCATGTCTATCTTGTTAGTCTCATGCTTAGATAGACCTTTCTTCAATCCACAACACTTTTTCAATTCAAAGCAACCTATTTTCTATTCAATCAACTCTTCATTTCCTTCTCTTAGTTATGACACCACTTGTCTTTCCATCCTTAGTTCCATGGACTACGGGGCTCTGACTTCCTCATTGTACCATGAGGATACGTAGGTACAATATTTCAAGATCTTGGCGAGTAACCTTCCTTCACTTCCACCCTTAGTTCTCCGAACTACGGAGCTATAATTTCCTCATTTCACTATGAGGATACGTAGGTACGAGGGCCCTAATCCTCTACGAGCACTATATTTATAACCTTTTTTCTCCTCTTTGTAAGTAAACCTTTAGATGTAACATCCATCCAAGCGAAGGACAAGTAAAATGGTTCCCTTCGAGTACGACGAATTCGAGGGATGCTAATACATTCCCCTTGCATAACTGACTCCCTTACCCATTTCTCTTCCTCTTGGGTTTTATCAATATTTTCCCTTTCCTTTTGGAATAAATAAAGTTCGACGACAACTTTGTTGTACCATCGGTCGTGCAATGCGCTTGGGTATATTTTCGTTAGCTTCACATACATTGCTAGGAGATATTTTGAACTACTTTTTGCTGCAAATTCTAGTGAGCGGGAGATAGTTATTTCGCATATCAAGCCCATGGTAACAGAAGAGGATAATAGTAGGTTAACAACACCTTTGTGTATGGAAGAGTTATACACTGCCTTATGTGAAATGCACCCTAATAAATTGCTAAGTACGAGTGGATTTAATCTTGCTTTCTATCAGAATTTTTGGGACTTGTGTAGTTTGGATATTTTCGAGGCAGCGAAGCTTTGGTTCGACAATTTTTATTTCCCGCCGTCGCTTAATGATATGAATGTGTTTGATCCCTAAAGTGCTAACCCTCATAACATGAAGGACTTCCGCCCTATTTTTTTATGTAATGTGATCTATAAAAAAAAATTCAAAAGCTCTTGCTAATAGGTTGAAGCTGATGCTATATAAATGTGTGGAGGAGGAACAATCAGCTTTTGTAGAGGATCGTTCTATCCTGGATAATGCATGATTGCTATAGAGATTATCCACGCTCTTAAGAGAAAAACTAAAGGAAGTAAGGCTCAGTTGGTTTTTAAGGTGGATGTTAGTAAGGTGTATGATAGAGTGGATTGGGGTTTTCTCTGTGGTATGCTTTACAGAATGGGCTATGTTGATACATGGATTCATTAGATGATGATGGGTGTCACCTCGGTGCACTATATTATTCTTGTTAACTCAGATAAAGTGGGACCGATTGAACCAGGGAGAGGATTGAGGCAAGGGGCCCATTGCCTCTTTATTTTAATGTCAGAAGGTCTTTCAACTCTTATAAAGGGAGCAGTGGCTTCATGAGATCCAAATCTATAGAGGGGCACCCACTGTGTCCCACCTTCTTTTTTATGAAGATTGTTTTTTTGTTTTGCAGGGGTTAATCTCTCTGGAGTTAGGCATCTTATGAAGTTGCTTAGTACTTACGCTGATACCTCGGGACAGGAGATAAATTTGAATAAATCTGACATGTTTTATAGCCGAAACATTAGTAACGCGGCCAAGGAGGATCTTGCTAGCATTATGGGAGCCTGTCGTATGTTAGGTACGGGAAAGTATTTAGGGTTGCCCTTTATGATTGGTAGAAGTAAAAAAGGCAACTTTTTATTTTATCAAAGGTTGTAGTTGGAACAAAATTAATTCTTGGAGAGGTCGAGCATTATCTAAAGCAGGAAGGGAAATTATGATAAAATCAGTGCTCCAAGCCATTTCGCCCTACATTATGAGCCTTTTTATTATCCCATATGGGGTTTGTAATGATATTGAGAAGATGCTTAATTCCTTTTGGTGGGGAGAAGGTAGTAATAATAGGGGAATCCATTGGATGGCATGGGATAAATTGACTTGCTCTAAGAAGGAAGGTGGATTGGGATTTAGAGACTTTAAAGCTTTTAACATGCCCATGGTTGCTAAACAAGGTTGAAACCTGTTGTCCAAGCCTCAAACTCTTGTCTCCATAATCTTCAAAGCAAGGTGATTTCCTAGAACATCTTACTTTGAAGCTAACCTTGGTTATAATCGTAATTTTGTGTGGAGAAGTATTTGGAATGCAAATTATGTTTTATCTTTAGGGTGCAAGTGGAGCATTGGGGATGGTAGTCACGTCAAGGTTATTAATGAGCCTTGGATCAAGGGTAAGAAGGAAGGGTGTCTGAGTGGTCCCCAAAAACAAGGTGTGTACGATATTACTGTTAGAAATCTTATGTTGCCTGATGTGAAATAATGGGATGTGAGAGTGATTAGAGACGTGTTTAATTGTGTAGATGCTGGAGAAATCTTGCAGGTGCCTCTTTTGGAGGAGGTCAAGAAGGATATGATGATCTGGAAGGCAGAACAAAATGGATCCTACATTGTGCGTTCTGGTTACAGGTTGTGGAAAAGCTTATGGGTGCGACAGGAGAATGGGGGAATGAACGAGGATTGGAATAGTCTTTAGAATATTAAAGCTCCACCAAAGGTTAAACACCTATTATGGAGAATTTGTAAGGAATTCTTACCGACTTGGGCTAGACTCCGACAACATCATGTCCCTTGTCGACCTACTTGTCCATCTTGCAAGAGTAACATTGAAGATGATTGACACCTATTTTTTTTATTATCATGAGATTACTCATTGTTGGAGGGCAGCAAGTTTGTCCTTTATTATAAATGTTCGTTTACATTCTTTCCTTGATGCTAAATCTCTTTTATTCAATATTTGTAGTAAGGAGGATAGGAAGGAAGCATGAGGGTTTGTTGTCATGTTAGACGAGATATGGAAGAATAGGAATAATCGAATTTGGAACAATGAATACGAGGAAGCTTCTAAGATTGGTTGGCTAGCTTTTCACAAGTGGCAGGAATGGTTCTCGGCCCAAAAAGTGTATGATCCGATTAATAACCACCAGGTACTTTCTACTTGGAACCCGCCTAGGGAAGGTGGGTTGAAATGTAATGTGGATGTGGCGTTCAATAGCCATAGTGGTTCTTCTAATATGGGATGGTGTGTGCATGACCACATTGGGAATTTCATTTATGCAGGCGTGGCTTGGGATTTCGGTACTATGTCCGTGTGTGAAGTCAAAGCTTTAGCGCTTAAAGAAGCGATCTAAGTAGCAATTGATTCGAATCTGGAAATTGTGGTCTTCGAAAGTGATTCCCAAATAGTTGCTCAAGCCATTCACTCCAACTATAAGGGTGATTCTGAGTTTTATTTTAATATTAATTCTATAAAAGTCTCGTTATTTGTTAATCCTAACTTTGAGGTAATACTCATTAGACGTCAAACGAATATGGTTGTCCACTCTCTTGCTAGGACGGCCAATTATTGGCCTAAATGTAATTTGTTAAATTTACTCCTCCTTATATTGAATGTTTCCTGATTAATGATATGCATTGAGTTAGTTTTGATAAAAAGAAAATGGAATAAAAATCAGAATATTAATAAATACCTTTGGTTGTATTGGAGGGTTAAAGGCTTCAATAAAATTGCATATAGAATATAAGTTGGGCCAAGTTTGTTTTGTTGGCGTACCATACAAACTTTACATAAAAAATAGTTATTTTGTTTTGTTGAACTTACTAAAATATATCTCTTGTTCGTCTCTACTGACAAACAGAGGTCGACACTTAATGATGTGAGCAAATATGCAATCCATAGACCAGATATCAACTGCAGTTGAGTAATTGGTTGAGCCCATCAAAAGTTCAGGTGCTTTATAGTAAGAAGGAATGCCCTTCTGCAAATGGAAAATAAAATTACAAAAGCATTACTTTATATTAGGATGGTTTAAATCTTTAAGGATAGAGACGTGATTTAAAATCTTGAGGAATGGTTAAAATCTTGATAGACTTTCTCCTGTGGAAACTGCTGCATGCACTTAATGACATTGCCGAAACAAACACCAGTGATGTTTTTCTGATCTTGAGGAATGGTTAAAATCTTGATAGCGACTTCCTTCTGTGGAAACTGCTGCATGCACTTAATAACATTGCCGAAACAAACACCAGTGTCAATTCGTACCCGTGCAAAATCTTTGTACATGCGAAGTAGAGAGAGATTCGCAAGCCGCTTTAATTGCTTATTATTTCCCTCCAAGTCATCGTAAAGTTTTAAAGATAGTGCAACATAATTTCAGGCTTGGGTAATCTTAATTATAATTATTAATAGTCGTAAATCTACTTCAATATCTATCACCAATATGATACATGTCACTATCATTTATTATAAACTAAAGCATTAACTTGATTTACAATTACATTTTTTGTGAAACTAATTTAGTTTAAAATTGAAAACATTGATGAAAAGTTCAAATGGATGAAACCAGTGAAGAAATGAAAGAAAATTACCATACAACAAGAAGAAGTGAAATAAAAGAAATAATAATTACCATACAACAACATGCAGGCTTAACAAGCCTGTAAAATCCAGTAATGATGTATATCTCTCCTCTATGGGTAAACTCTACACGGACATAAAAAGTTTCATACTGCTTAATAATTTTTGTTCATCCCTAGAAATTTTTATATGGTTTCAATTATTAATCTATGACTATAACCCTGCCAACATAACACTCATGATTTCCTATGTACGTTTGCGGTTCCTCTTGCTTTTTCTTGAGGCAGCGATACTAGTGATAATCGAGTTGCCAGCATTAAGTAAAGTATTTATACCCATAAAATTCAACCCGAGGTTCTTTGTCAAAAATGACAACATCTTTTCACCATCTCCAGGAATTTGCTGCATCTGTTGCACCTGTTCACGGGACATAATGGTGTAAAGCTGCAATGGAAACTTTGTGGGATTTGGATAGCAGTTTAATATCTCCTGGTAAATTTCTTCAGTACAACCAAAAGTGATCTGCATAATCGCCTTTGACTGCAGATCTTCTGATGAAGAATCATATATGAAAGCAAAATTCCCGGATTCCAAATCAGGCTTCTTGAATAAATTAACCAGGATCATGTTTACTGCTCCTCCATTCTTAGGCAGGGATTTCTTAGGATTAACTTGCTCATTATGGGTTAACTGGTAAATGCATGAAGCTTCTCTTAAGCCACTCAAGAAAGCGCCATGCATAGTGGCTGGAAACTGCCTACTAGTGGCCTCGCCTGCAAAGAATAGTCTGTTCCCCACATTTTCTGCAAGTATATCATAATCCTTACCAGATGAATGCACACTAACATGAGAGTATGAGCCATAAGAAAGGGGATCGCTTCCCCATCTCGTACAAATTGATTGAATTGGATCAGGCACAGTGATGCCTTTAGCATTAAAAATACCTGTAGTAAAATATGTAATCAAATCAGACATTGCCAAGCAATTTTTGTGCATAGCTCAAATCATGAAATATTTATTATTATCAATAAAAACAATACTTTTTACACAAAACACAAAAGTGAATAACGACAAACAATGCATTAATTTTAAGGAGACTTATGGGAGTTTTAGATGACTTCACCATAAAGCTCAAAAGCATGCAACAGGCTGTGATTTCAATTGCAGCCACTACCGCAACAATTATGACACTAACACACAACAATGCAAACTCTAGATATTAGTTTGTAATATCGCAATAGTGCTTCTATTACACACTATTTGTAAACTGGGACCCACCTTTTTTTTCTTTTTACCCCTTTTCAACTAGCAAATGCGCAACCAAAAAATGGAAAACTTACTTTTCTCTCTCACTATGCTTCTTCGCTTTTTCTCACTTTTTTTCCATGGAACCGAACATAGTTTTAAACACTTGTTTAGCTTTTCAATTTCTATGATTAGAAATGATAAAGAAAAACAAACAAATAAATGTAAATAATGAAGGTAAATTCTCATATACCCATTTGATTCATTGGGTACACATACCCAACATGATGTGGCCCATTAAATATCAAACTTTTGTCTTACACGAATCCACGTCATCAAAATTCTGATTATTTAAAATATCTGTATATTGAATGTTAGACTTAAGAGATGTTTTATTGGCCCACTTAAGTTGGGTACCCATACCCAACCAAAAACTTATGGGTACCACAATGTTAACCAATAACAAATCACTAAATCATGTGATTTATATTGATGATATGAAATCTTGCAGTTGCATGCATGTATCATATTTTAGGGCAATATAAGATTCATTCACATGTTACGATATACAAGTAGCTAATAAGCCGAATCTATCGAATCGAACAATTAATACAGCAAATCATGCATCTCTAACAAGTAAGACGTAAAACAAGGAAAAAAAGGAAATGTGCAAAAGGAAACACCCATGATATTTAATGAGAAAAGTCAATAGACAAAGCGATTTATTTTTCATAAGTTAGTAAAAAAATAAGTGAGAAGTACCTTTTAGAGTGGTCAAAACCCGATGAAGCAAGATGGATGGATCTGTGGCTTCAAAGTTTTGTGCAGCTTCACCAGCCACCAGTGCAATAAGTGTTGAACCCCCAGAAACAGTGTGGTAACTGTAAAATAAAAAGAACTCCCCACGATCATGACTATTTTCGTTGAGACATCCAAATGTGTCTGATTCTTCTCCCCAAAACACATGTGGAAAAACCATAGCAACTTTGTTCAGTAGCCCGAAACCCATCCTCTCAATTGATTCCAGCTTTCTTGCAGGTAATTCAGGTTCAAAATTAATAGCCTTCTTTTTCAGAACTCCGAGAGGCACAGTGCATAAGACATAATCGGCTTGAAAAACTTGATCTCCAACAATAATCTCAACACCCTCATTCCCATATCTGATAGTGTTGGCAGTCTTCCCATAAAAAATAGGAACCCCTTCGCACATAGCTTTTATCAATCTCCAATTGCCTCCAGCAAGAAAACAATGATCACCGCCCATTTCATAAGGATCGTCCTGATCCCAATGGGCAGCCGAAAGATTTGAAAGACATCCAGCATTTGCATATTCTAAATTCGCAAGATGCCAATTCAACAATTGCTTCTCATCAGTACTTTGAGCCACAGCATATAAAGCCTTGAGTGTCTCCAAGACTGAACCAAGTGAAGTATCACTTGCAAACCCACCCATAATTTTCCTCAGCTCCATAACTTTGTCAAGCAACCTATTAAATGCAAATTCAACATTTTTATCTAATTCCTTATCAACTGGATCCCCATTTGGCTTGTATAAAGGACAATCAACTCTAACTTTATGAAGCGGAAGAGAAAGTTGTCGTGCTAGAACCGCTAAAGGATTAGCATGAATTCCAGTAATAACACTCCCACCAAGATCCACGGCCGCAAACTTACCCTCTTTCCCCATCTTCTGAGTATAAACCCTGCCCCCCGGACGGTTCCTACCTTCCAAAACCATAACCTTATAACCAAACGACAATAGCTGCCTCGCCGCAGCCAACCCAGCAAGACCAGCACCAATAACAATAACAGTCCCTTCCTTTGGCTCAGGAAACTGGGAAATAAACAACGGCGAAACCCCAAAATTTATATGCCCATTGTATAAAAGATAGTCATATGCAGAGTTAAGCAAAGGTTCAAACTCATTAGTGACGATTTCTCTAATCTGTCCCTTTGTCAACCAAATCCGAACATTGTCCCTCCAAAGAGCCAATATATGATTCCTAATAACAATATAATCATTCTGCTCTTTCCCACCCAATTCTTTAACAACCCCAGATTGAATCTCATGCTCAAGCAAAGCATCAATCGGGAAGCCAAGCGAGAAGGCAATCATAGCCTCGGTGTCAGTCTCTTTATTCACATCATATTTGGGTCCCTTCTTCTTCTTCAAACTACTATCCAACTTGTCAAAAAGCTCATCATCGATCATACCCTCATTGTAACTTCGGAAATTAACTCTCTTTCTCAGTGAAACACGCCTCGAAACAGATCCATCTGGATTCGGATTTTCCATTCTTCGTTCCTACTAAATATAATTTAACCCCTATCCTATCCAATAAACTAAACTAGTTCAACCCAATAGTAATCTAATGAACAGATACAAACTATGCTAATGTCGATCAAATGAAAATACTATATTAAACAAAAAAAATCGAAATTGAAGTTGAAAACTATATTACCAAGAGGTTTATGGCACAAGTCGCAACTCCCAATTGTTGTTCTGCAGAGTAGAAAAAAATAGTTGAGTAAGCAGTGTTTCGATGAGGAGAGAAATAATTACTAGAAATGAAGAGTGCAGGAAATGTAAAAGAGTGAACATTACAACGATTGGAAGGAAAGAGTGTTGTTCCCTGAAACGAAAGTGCGACTCTCGGAAACGGTACGAAGAGAATGAAAATGAGGTGTAATTGAATGACGAAAGTTTATTTATTCCGTCTTTTTTTTTTGGTCGAACATAATTATTACTAATTAATTATTTTGTCTTAACAAACAAATATGGTATATGTTAACGGGCCTTTGGGCTTTTTCAAAACACCGACCAAAATGGAGAATTTAATTTGTCACATTCTAAATTATATCGGATACCCTTTAAAGCTTCATATTTTTAAAATTGTCTCTGATTAAAAAACACATCAAATTTTTGTATGAAATTTTTGATAAGTATAATGAAATTTTTGATACAGAGTGAAATTTCTAATAGTTCATTTGAAATTTTCGGTATATTGAAAATTTAATAGTTTTTGGTAAGTTTCAACCTAAGTGAAATTTCTGGTAGTTTCATTTTAAAATTCTGGCAAGTAGATCTCAGATGTCATAAGAGATGTCGAGACATTAACCTCTGCTAAAAACCGAACAAAGACAGGATAAAAACATTATGTTCTCTTAAAAATAAGAATACTCTGATCCTTCAAGGTCAAAACAGTGTCATAAAAGATGTTTCAACATATGTCAAAACATGTACTTCAGAGTATAGATACAGATTAAATTAACATAACAGAATGAAAGAAATAACACAAGATATGATGATCCAGTTCGGTGCAAATCACCTACATCTGGGGGCTACCTAGACAGAAATGAATTCACTATCAGTAGTATTAATTTAGAGCTAAACTCCCCCGTTTACAACTTCTCACTTAATCCCCACCTAGTACAATTCTATCTAGAAATCATCATCTAGATAAGAGAACCCCATCTCAATTCCTAAATCACCTCAGTGATATCTAACAGTTACAACATCTGATGACTGTATCAAACTATTCAATTGAAAGACACCTCTCTCAATACAATATTCAGTCAAGACTCTTGACTAACAAACATGCATGAATTTACTTAAAATCTTCATCCAAGAACAATATACAATTCATTACCTACAGGTTTTTGAATATGTAAGATTATATCTACCATAATGTATCAACCGATACAAAGGGTGACTTACAAGAAAGTACATGACTCTCAAAACCATAAACCTTTATTTTCTACTTTTACAAAAGTCTTAATAATAATTCTTATTCTACCCTAGGTCTTAGTCTTCCTTTTATAGCCTTCAAATGTCCATGGGCTTCGAAATCTCTATTTAATCTTCCCTTGATCCATGTTTTGATTGCTCCTAAAATCTTGGACCAAATCTGCAACAAATCTGCTGCACCAGATCAAGATGTCGAGTCTATAATGCTAGGACATCTTGTCTAACATGTCTTCTTTCAGCAGATTTCATCATGTTGAAACATCTTGTGTAACATCATGTGTTTGTTAGCCTTGAATTTCGACGACCAGGTGGAAATGTTAGGTTTTTTTGAGTTAAGGCAGCGTTTTCGACTATGGTTATGCTGCAAAGATTTCGACCAAAAAATAGACGATTCGACAGACACGAACCTTTGAAGTTTGAATTCGAATTATGGAGGGAAATGCAGTTATTTTTCGCCATTAATAGGAGGCACATGACACTGTTTAAAGTAATCAAAGCATGCAGAGTGACATTTGTTTTGATCTAGTTCATTGAGTCATTAGGAGCGGTTATTTCGACTGGTTATAAATAGTGGCTCAATTTATGATTTTGGGTGTGTTCATTTTGTACAAGTCACTCAAAAAATTACTCAAAGTATCCAAGTCAAAGTGAGAAAAGAGTTATAACTGAGAATGTACGTGTCGAAACACCATCTTTTAATGCATTAAAGCTTTTTGTTTTCTTTTATAAGAACCTTCCTTTTACTTTACTGCTTTTATGCGAGTTATATTTTCTGGTCTTTACCTTTTGCTTCGAATTGCTATCTTCTTCGCCTAAACTGCTTTCATTTTCTACTTGCTTTATTGCCAAAACCTTTTTTTATTGTTGTTTTCCAATACTGTCAGAGTATATATCCTTCTCTTTTAGATTTCATTTAATTTTAAACTCGGATTAGCTATGTCCTAGGATTTAGTGTGGTCGATCCTGCAAGCTAAAATGAGTCTTTAAGATTTGTTAGACCAACGGTTTTTCTCCAAATTTCACGGCGAACAAATTGGCACACCCAGTGGGACAGTGCTAATCAGAATTTCTTGTAAAAAATATTTTTTTTTTAAAAGATCCTTGCGTAAAATTTTCATTGTATGCAGTTAAGAAGTGGTAAGATAACCAATAATAACGAAAATCGAACTAAGAAAGGGTATACTAGGAGAATGGTGTCAAATACAAATCATCCAAACACTCCCCAGGATCTATAAAATGGTAACGATAACACGGAGCTTCCCGTGCCACCTTCGACAGAAGGGCAAGCGAGTTCTTTTTCTGTTTCTGAAGTGGTTTTGACTATGGGGACTTCGATGTCTACACATTCGATTAATCATACGCAAACCAATTTTGACCTACATTGGGACCAAGGGCCTCCATATACCCAACCTCTAGTTGGAACTTCCATGTATAGGAATATTCCCCCACCAGGGTTTTCGATACCTTTGTCGCGAGACTCACCATATGGTATGCCAACATCAGTAATGTCAAGCCTCCATAACGCCCCTCCTGTACACACAGTACATGTGATAACTTCACCATTACAGGGGTCAGCATCTAGAATGAATGTGGGTCGAAACAACCAAAACATAGGATACTTTGTCCCAACACAAAACCTAACAGTTGGTTCTGCCTCTTTTTGAGCAACAAATGGATGAAAGTAACCACAGATGGTACAAATGATGTCCCAAACTATAGGAGAAATATTTCATCCCCTTATCCCAAAACACTACCCAAACTAACCAACAATTGGCAGCGCAAATGACGCATTTAGTTGATTTTTTTGGGATACCAAATCCTCCTCGACACCCACAAAGGGACAATGTGAGAGAAAACCAGGGATTAGCCTTCGGGGAGGACCTCGCTATTAACCAAGCCCAACAACACCCAGAGAATAAAATAAATGCAATTTAAATTAAAACAATTATCAGAGTTGCTACACCAAAACGGGATATCACAAAAAGAAACTCCAACAGAACGCTTCATTAACTGAATTCAACAATTAGCAGCGGAAAATGTCATATATATATACATATATATATATATATATATATATATATATATATATTATATATATATATATATATATATATATATATAAATATATATATATATATATATATATATATATATATATATATATATATATATATATATATATATATATATATTATATATATATATATATATATATATATATATATATATATATATATATATATATATATATATATATATATATATATATATATTATATATATATATATATATATATAATATATATACATATGTATATATGTATATATATATGTATATATATATACGTATATATATATATACGTATATATATATACATATGTATATATGTATATATACGTATATATATATATACGTATATATATATATATATATATATATATATATATATATATATATATATATATATATATATATATATATATATATATATATGTATATATATATCTATCTATCTATCTATATATATATATATATATATATATATATATATATATATATATATATATATATATATATATATATATATATATATATATATATATATATATATATATATATATATATAATATATATATATATATATATAGATAGATAGATAGATATATATATATATATATATATATATATATATATATATATATATATATATATATGTATATATATATATATATATATATGTATATGTATATGTATATATATATATAATATATATATATATATATATATATATATATATATATAGATAGATAGATAGATATATATATATATATATATATATATTATATATATATATATATATATATATATATATATATATATGTATATATATATATATATATATATGTATATGTA